ACATGAATTTGCCCAGTTCAGCAGTAGCTTCCATCACACCGTTTCTGCCAAATTTGGTGCTACTCTCTTACATACAGACCGATTCTTTCCCAGCCCCTTGCTAAACTGGGGATAAGAAAATTCACTTTTCTATTTGCCTGGACTAATAGGTGCAGCCATGGCTGATCAACAGCTCCTGGTCTCTGTGTCTAACAGAATTAGCACAAAGCATGGGAACGAGTTCACACCACAAGCTGAAACCAAGACCTCTCGAGCTCCTTTCACACCACCAACATTGTATTGGTGAGAATGTTTGTGGTTAACGGCTGAGTTAGGCTGGATTTCAGCAGAAGACCTGTGGAGGAAATGGTGAACAGCTCGTTGGAGCTACTGCATCTAAACCCGCAGTGATTGTTAATTGAAAAAAAAGTGTTGAAATGATACATATGTATTCTGCCCATAAAAAACCTATGTTAAAAGAGCAGAAAAGCTACAGAATTTAGGATTATCAAACCCTAGCATCGAAGTTACTTGGCACTTATAAAGAAAGAGTGGTTCATGAAGATGGATCTCAGTGCTATCTTTATCATTTGAGCTCTATTAAACCAGCCAAATGGAGCAGCTTTCTCCCAAATACTAAACAAATAATGAACATGAAGTCTGAAACTGTAAGCATTGATATTGCTTGAACAGAGACACTTTAAAATACTATTGGAAGTGCTTATTGCCACCACACAGGATGCCACTCATTTTGATTCTGATATAATAAAAAGTACAGAAGTATATTTTCATCCTTATACAAATACAATACTGATTACACATATAGGGAGTAGCCCTGTTCTGGGAGATGATGCCATATTTGCACAGCCCTTTTTCACCCAATACTTTCAACCTTCAGCAATACCTTAAGTACATTAATGTCTGCTGTGTTCAGCAAATGCTTTTATGTGCCTTTTATATTCACAACCTACCGCTCTGATCTATGTTACTTGAAAATTAAGCGCATTTTTAATGGTCTGCAGCTGATTTACATAGGACAACAGCCCTGATCAAGAGAATAACTTTGCTGAAATTTTGAATTCTTCACAGCCACCTTTAAGAACTTGCTGTTCCTGTGCCACATGCTAAAGTGAACGCAGACTGATGAACATCTGAGTAGCTGAAGTCTCCTTCTTTGGTACCAGACTTAACAAATTCTCCCTACAGAAGAAACCAGGACTTCAGTCTGTAACTTCCATCTTCACTGGGAGTGCTCCATGAAACAGCTGCTCTTCTTGAGCTTTGGTAGAAGTGATTTTGAAATAATTTACTGAGCAACTCGTACAGTCCTGCTCCAAATCAGTACTGCCACATTCTGAAAACTGCTGACAGCTATCCAACTAACAGACAAAGACGTGCCAGCACAGACTTCAGGCCAGCATCCTAGATTGGCAACCCTTCTTAAACTTGATAGTTTGAAGTTTCATGTTAAAAGACCTGGGGAAACAAAATCTTGTCCCATGGTGAGAGATCACCTGCCACCACCATCTTCAGGCCTGCCAAGTCATGTTCTCAGCTCATGAGACTCACACACTTGACTCCCACATCCCTCTCCCTGCTGATACCCAGCTATGGCTGGACCTCACACGCAGGTCTTGGAGGACTGTGGCATCTCTGGTGCTCCAAGGCACACGCTGAAGGAGCTGCCTCTCCTGGTAGTGGTGTGCCTATATGCCACATGTGGTCAGAGAGCGAGAGCACAATTGCGGTGCTCTGCCAGGATGGAGGAATGAGAGCTGGTTACCAGGGGCCCATGCCCTGAGGAGGCCCACTTGAAGGCACGCGCATCAGCTGCAGGCCGTCTCTCTCTGTCACATTGTCTCGCACCCACATGACTAACACTGTGTGACCCCATGCAAAGGCATACTAAGGAGAGTCACATATCAAGGGAGAAGTAAGCCGAGAGCTCTGCATCTTATTCCAGCTCGCCCTGCATTATAATGCCAACACAAAAAGGTTGGATGAAGAACATGCAGGTCCCCTGATGGGCAGACGTGCTAAATTGGCACCTGGGTTCTTCTTGAAAGAAGACAGCACATAAGCTTTAAATAACCTACTCAGAAACCAAACCTCTAGGCTATTCATATCAGACATATGATATGAATATGGACACACTCTTCACAACACAGACTGAAAGTCTAAAAAGGGATAAAGTGCCTTGTGAGAAGGGTCAGTGCTGTCCCTTGCTGTATTTTCAAAACTTCTGGTCAGATCCTGCAGCTTGGCTTTACAGACAGTATCGCTATCTCATGTAGCAAGACAGAGGAATACACATAACCATAGCTCTTTTAACAGGAGTCTCTATTATCCAAATACATAGACAGCCATCTGGCAGAAATCACCTTCAGGGCTTGTACATGGTGTTTACCAGCTGTCAGAGGACCTCTTTTGAATGACTGATCAGCCAAGAACAACATACCTATAAGCAGTTCTTCCACTTCAGATTCATACCTTGGATACCCAAAATTATTTAAAAGCCAAGTACATGCCAATGGCACAGGAAAAGAACTGAGAAAAATTAGGACATTTGCATCCAAGGGCTGCATTAACTGGTAGTTTTCCACATGAAGTTGTCTGTTATCAAAACCAAATCCAACACACCTCGCCCTGGAGGAGAACACTCTTCCACAGCAACAGATGCTGCTGCAGACGTAATAGGACTAATGATGTCCCAGCTCAGGAATACACATGGAAAGTTGTAGGTGACTTATTTGACAGAAAAAATGCATGCAATGAGATTTGTTTGCTCAATTTCTTTAAAATTTCTTTTACTTGCAGTGGGAATGAAAGACGGTGAAGAATATCTCTTCTAAAAAAAGATAAGTCCTTTTATATGGCTGTTCTGACCTGAATATACCTGTACAGTCTTCATGTCTGGAGAACAGGTACTTCTCAGATGAACAACAGGAACATCAATTTTGACCAAAACAAATTTCATTTCAACCTGTCTTACCCACAGAGCTTCACTTGAACACTTTTTCTCCAGGTAACCTACAACTCCCTTATTTGCTAACTTTGTATCTTGCAAGGCCACGTGCATTTTTTTTCAGCAAGATAACGCTTTAAATTACATTCACTGTAGTAAACATGTTAGACATTGTTCCCAACAAAGCAGGCACTGAAGAGAATACAGATCCTTTCCAGCTGTAGCAATGACCTATTAACACTGAAAATCATAAAAAAAGAACATAAATGGGTGACTCAAAAGAGACTCTTCAACCAAACCAATCTGTAACAAAGCCCAAATGTCACAGAGTCCTCAGGTCAGGGCAGTAACACACTGTACGGGAGCCCACTGACTTGGTGTCTTTACATCATGCTGGCAACACTTCTAATACAAGAGGGGTGGATATTGCTAGTGCTGGGTATGACTGGAGGATACAGTGTTTACCTGTGTAACACAGACATCTCTAGCAGTTTGGAGTCTCAAAGGAAAAAGTCTACCACTAACCACACAATATGAGAGCAGGAGAGCTACTAATTTGGGAGAATTTACACCCGATAACATACAGCAAACTGTATTCCTCCCCTGAGCCATCTGTACCAGAGGTCAGGAAGGACGGAGAGGCCATTTATTGGTATGGGAGATAACCATAACAAAGAGAAAGCATCACCATGAAGAGGGGGAAAATCAGAATTAGATACTCACCCTGTGACTATGCCCACATGAGGAATGGAGGTGTAGGGACTAGACTGCACTAGAAGGGGTACACCACTGTCACTTAACCCTGGCTATGTTGTGTCTCTGTAAAGTCCTATTAGGCTGCTGTAAGAAAAGCACAATCCCAAACTGAAAACAGCATCTAGAAGGAGGCCAACAACGCATTTGCACTCTCTGTCCTGCTGCAGTACTCTGTTTTCTGCCAAGCACGTGCAAAAAAAAAAAAATCATTCTTCTTAATGTCCAATTTTTTACAATCACCCTTCTTCCCAAAAAAACTGGTATGAAAAACGTCAATCGGTTTGCCGCTGCCTGAGGCATTTCCTGATCCCAGGAACCGATACTTGAAACCTGGACAATGTTTGCTTTTCTGTGGCTTAGGGCAGGATCTACCATCTCTCAGCCCCCTTATCACTTTACCCTGTGCGTGGGTGATGGGATATGTCCTGCCAGGTTTTCTTGCTGCAACAAAGCTGCCAAGACTGTAAACTGGGTGACCAGGGCATCCCCGGGAATGCAAACCTCCGTTAGCCCTCCTGCCTGCTAACAGACCCAAGACCAAGGTGCTGAGCTCACCCTGGAGCCAACGCCAGCCCAAGAAGGGCACTCCCTAGGAGGATCTACCTGACGGGACCTCATAGGCATGCCCAAATCTTACCTCTGGGCACCCAGATTCAGTAATTCCCATTAAACTCTGTTCTACATCTTTCCTCTCAACTGCCCCTGCATGGTTCCTTCCTGCCTACTCTGCTATAATATGAGACCAGGCTCCCAAATGAAAAAGTAGTACAAGTTTTCAGGCTGCAACTGTTTTTGTAACGTGGGTGCTTCTGGCTGTAAGTACAGACAGACAGCTCTCTGCATTGCCAGTAGTCCCACTGAAAACTCATATACCCTTTGAGAGGCAAGACTCCTTTCAGGCAGGCCCATCTATAGGAATAGCTATTCCTGTAGTGCCATCTTCTGGCCTAGGGTGTAGGAACACTATAGCTGAAAGTGGGACTGATCAAAAGAACATTTTTTCAATCTGTTAAAAAACATTACAACAGGTTTAGACTATGGATCAATACACAGAAACACCCAAACCACGGGAATCCTCTCAACAGATTATGTACAATTCACCTCCCAGTAAATTACTAGTTTTAAAATTACAAGATTTTGAAAAATATCTTCTGGGCCAATCTGCTTTGTGTTTTGAGCCATTACAATCTTGCTTTTCAGCTTTTGTTTTATTTCTCAACAAACATCAAGGCTCAAAACTCACTTTTTGTTTACAATTTTTGTGCCATCTCATGACTCGGGAAGGTAATGCCTGACGGTTCCCCACCACCACATGGGGAGTAAGGAAAGCATATAAAATCCCATTGATGGGGACTGTATATTATTTTAACCCAATCCTCATCACAATGATGATTGGTAACATCTATTTTCTTGTCAGTTTGTATCTCAGGGTTTTGTTGGTAAAGGAAGAAGATAGGAGCTCCTTTCTCAGTGAAAGATGCCCATTTACAGCTCAAAACTTTTGCGAACGGTTGACTCAGGAGAGTATTATCCCCCAGGCCTTGCCCCGTGCAGCAGGACAACCACACGAGCCGAAGGGAGGAAGAACTACAAGCAGACTGCTGAATCTTTATCCTTCCCCCACCTCCAGTGGTTTTCTCTTCCTGGAAGTAATGCTCTCTCCATCCTTTGGAAAGCCCCGGCACATAATAATCACAAAACACCTTCTTCAGGGAAGCAGCCCCCAGGGGAAAAAAAAAAAAAAAAAAAAAGCCTTCAGTTTGCAATTTCTCTTTCTATAGTCTTTCTTCTTCCAGTGAAAGTGTCTATAAAATTTTTAAAGGAAAGTAGGTTGCTAAAATGTACTTAATTTGCCATGATAGATTGAGTCCATGCTTCAGTGACTGTAATTGAATCTGTGACCTATTTCTTTAGTAAAGTAGAAATAGTCTCTTGGGTTTTTGTCACTACCATCTTTTAATGAAATTCAAAAAGACTGTCAAAATGTCTACACTTTTTCCACTAGTTGTTAATGTTATTACTTTACATTTTGTTACTTTTTAATTAATCTTAATAAACGTGTACATAGTCTACCTAGCAGTTGGAAATGGTAGACATCAATTCATCACTGTCACACAGTAAAGCAAAATTAACAGGACAGAAAGGGCATTGGAGGGAGGACGCAGCCACGGCAAAGGTGGGAGCGGCTCACGTCCAGCGCAATCACACCAACCCTGAATACATAATCCCCTTCGTCCTGGCGGCCACCTCACCCTTCCTGGGTGCGCCTGAGTCGCCTTTGCTCCCGCTCCCCTCTGTAACGTGATTTCAGAACTACATTAGAAAAATAATAATACAGATGTTTCATCATAATCCTGTTGTAAGCCCAGATGTATTAGAAGGGATTTATAACTGTAGGAACGCGGGAGCAGGGATGACTACAGGGGTGCGTGTTGCGAGCGGCTTTGGGCAGCAGCAAACCTTCCGCTCGCCAAAAAGAGCGAGCAGAGGAGCAACGCTGACAGAACCGACAAGCTGCCACTAAACGACCCGCAAAGAAAACGATAACAAATAAACACGATCAACCCACAAGCCT